GCCCTTATTTGCACCACCCAAGGGCTCCATCTTGCAATTAGTTAGGTGGTGCCGTGGGATAAGCACTAAATTGCTAACCACAAAGTTAAACCCACCAGTTGCTCTGATGGAGAAAGAGGAGACTTTCTGCTCCCACAAAGATTGAAAACTTTGGAAACCCTATATAGGGTCACTATGAGTCAGAATTGACAGTGGATTTAGGTCTCATTTTTCAAGGTTAAGTGCATAGTAGAGGTGTGTGCAGATTCTGGGAAGAGCCCGAAAGAATCTAGGTTTGTTCTCTTCCCTCCATTTCCTGCTGGCTGGCCTGAAGGGACACATGTGGTTGGGTTGGCCATCCTGGATCATGAAGTAAAGGTCATGTGCTGAGCAACACAGAACAAAGCAGAAACAGTTTGGATCCCTGACCATCATGGACTTGCTCTTCCATCCCTGAATCCTCCCTCTACTTTCTCGAATGCTACATTGTGCAATCATGGCTAGAAAGCAAAATCCTATTTTTATTTTTATAAGCTTTTATTGTGAATTGAGTGATAGTTTACATGGGAGTTTACAGTTTTACACTCATAGTTTCATTGCAATGATTACAATCTCCTCCATGCATCATCACTCAACAGTATTTGCTTCTATTCCCTCTGCTTTTTTGTTTTGTTTTGTTTTAATATACACAAAAACACTCAGGATTATTTAATCATTTCAATAATCAAAGGGCACATTCTGGAAGTCTGCTTCCTGCTCGCCAGCACACAGCCTTTCTCTTTCCATGAGTCTAGAGTCCTCAGCTGCTCTACCGCTCCATTTTAATAAATTACATATCACTTAGGGGGCAGTGAATTCATATTAATGAGGGAGGTGTATTCCCTAGGAAGAGTGAGAATAGTTCCACAACTCAAAAAGCTTAATCAGTGTCATCGAATTGAACATGTACAAATATTTGAATTGGTGTACGCATGAAAAAGCCTTTAATTGCATATTATTTATTGATTCAATCATTTTATAAATGTTTTCATCTAAAATTAAAGAGTCAGTTCATTTTACACATAGCATAAAGTGATTCCCTCAGACTTGCTCTATATTCAAACTTAAGCACAGAATTCCTTCTGCATTTTTAACTCTCAAAACCCAACAAATGCTACAATATGAATGTTGGCAGATGTCATTACATTTCAATGGACAAATCTTCAATTTACTAAGGAAACAATTACTTATTTATTTATCTCCCACATGCCCATGAATCCAAGCTTATTAATTTGGTTAGGTCACCTCAGATTGTTTACAAATTAGCTTCCATCTAAGGTATACGTAAATCAAGGTATAGGGAAAAGGGTGGCTGATCCAGCAAAATCCAAGTCCAAAACATACAGACAGCCTTCATCACAGTAATGAGTCATCTGCAATTTAGATCCTCCATAGTAACAATCTCTCATTCCATTGGTTTGTGTTTTCTTCATCATTTTTTTAAAAAACTTAGTGTAGTGACAATAATGAGGTTCTCAAAATACTGTACAGTCTGTTTTTAAAAGATATTAATGGCTTTCAATTGCTCACTTGGTCAAATGAAAATATTGCCGACTAAACATGCTCAAATTTGTTCATGCCTTCTTTATTCTTAGATATCATAAATCCCTCATTTTGTGCCCAAAATAACATCGTGATCACATAATAAATTTTCTAGTTTTCAAGGTTTAAGCATAGAAAATATTGATAACAAAACTCCATCTGAAATAGGCAATGTCCATTCTTATCAACCTGAAGAACCATACTATGACATTTTGGGTGGTGTTGTTAAGTGTCATTGAGTTGGTTCTGACCTATAGAGACCCTGAATAGGGTTTCTGAGAACTAGTTGGTGGATTTGAACCACTGACCTTGCAGTTCAAACTGACTTATAGTATATATGACCCTGGTATGGTGCTGTAAAATAATTTAACTGCAAGGTGGGCAGTTCAAACTCACCAGCCACTCAGTGGGAGAAAGATGAGGCTGTCTGTCCCCACAAAGATCTGTAGCCCCAGAAACCCTATCCAGGAGAGCTATGAGTCAGAATTAACTCTAAGGAAGTGGACTTAGTTTTTTTTTTTCATAACATATATTAAGGCTCAAATATAGTCTTTAGTTGCCTCTTTGACAATAAAGGCTTGATCTGTAAAAGTGAAAAAAAAAAAAAAAAAA